ATAACACCCTGTAAATAACTCTCCTACATGTGTCATGGTATTTTATGGCTGCCTTTCAGCTCTGGTAGGGATTCCACCCTTCTGCCTGTGTAATCCTGAGTTCCTAGCACAGTATGTGGTATGGAGGAGGTTCTCAACACATGAAAGAAATTGGACTTGAAAAGTAGCAGAAAGGGGTAAAAATAGAAACATATATGGGTAAGAATGAAGAAAAGGTGTATTAGATAATATTAACCTTAGTAACTTTTTGGACTTCTTATTCATTTAGAATTTGTTGCCTGAGGCTCTTTTTTATTCCATTCCTTTCCCCCCCCCATTTCGTTCATTTACTTCTCACCCTACCATTCTGATATATAAAGTTTTAAAACTGATGGTGTGGTTATTAATAGTTTTCCTAAAGTTGATAGAATTGTTTAAAGTATAAACAATTATAAGTCCCTTCTTTCATACTCCATTCAACAGTAAAAGTAAATATAATCACTATCCTAGTGTGCATATGGATAAATGAAAGAGTATGTTCTTTTAAGAGGGAAAGACAAACTGACATTTGCTGAGCATTTATTGTATCCCAGGCCCTGTGTTGGACATGTACTTAGATTATTTCATGTAATCCTTCTATTAACCTATGAGGCAGGAATTATATTTCACAAAGGAGAAAATAATATTAGAGGTTATAGAAATGGCCCAAGGTCACATAGCTGGTGAATAGCAGACCCAAAACTGGAATGCAGATTTATCCTAATAAATTCTAGTGCCTTGTAGCCTAGCCTGAACTTATATGCAAGGGTACAGTACAGAGCCACCTGTGCATTTTAACATATCAGAGAGGATACACCTGCTGTGGGGAAAGTTTAGCCTAACCTAACTCATTTATTTTGCTTTGCATATTTTAAATATTTTAGCACCTTCTCCATTTCATACAAGTTACCACCCTATTCCCAAACTGTAATCTCCAAATTCTTGGTCAGTAAATGTCTTCCACAGCTAAAAATGCCCCATTTCTACTCTCAGAACATTTAGCTTTATTTTATAAAATGTATTAATATATTTAGGTTTCAATGTCCCATCTTGACAGTAATTTGAATTAATATGCAAGATTTCCATACATATGAGGATTTAGCTTATGTACAGTCATCTATATTCATATCACATTAATCATTTCAATCTAATCTCTGAAATAAACCTTACATTTTAAACAGGACTACTTCCATTCCCTAAAGAAACCAAGTGAGTTTTCTGTCTCTATATCCTTGCTCACCATATTTTCTGAAACACCTTTAAATATTTGTCTAACAAAATACTGTCCATCTTTCAAGGACCCACTAGAAAGTGCTCATGCCTCTGCATTGAGTAAACATCAGGGAGAAAAAGATGCTGACACTTGGTAGTGATCCACCTTGAAAAGCACAAGATGGGAAGATACACTGACCTAGGAGGCAACAGAAATTGTCTAAGGCCTAGTGTCCAAAGGACACAGCAAACCAAGTATGGTTTAGAGCAGGTGCTAAGAGATCACTCCAGCTCTGCACCTCTTGGCTACATCTGGTTTGTATATTGATTAATTCATTCAATCAATAATCCATTGAACACTTATTATCATTTATGTATTAGGAACTAATAGGAATCAAATAAATAAAATGCATTTCCTTAGAGTGAGGAAGAAAGATAAACATTAGGGATTTAAGTTGAATAATATTATTCAATATTATTCTTGAACGGACATTGTGGGGATACTACTGGTAGTTTTATCTATCACTGACTCAAATCTCTCGCACCAAGACATTTTGAAGGACCAAAGAGCATACCTGCCTACTTTCAGCTTTCCGAGTGATAGTTCCCTGATGAGGATCAGCTGGCCCTGAGGCACTTGACGAATTTTTCCATGTGACACATGTTGAAATAAAGGGATGGCTTATCAAAATCCTTGTTAGAGGTGAAAAGGGTGGGGACAAGGGGGTAAAATGGAAGTCTTCTGATTCCAATTCTGGAAATGAGACTTAATTCCATTATAGAATTTGATATGAACCTTCTGACACATTTCCTGCCCTGACGGATGGTGGGTCAGGAACTGAGTAGAACCTATCTAACAAGTCAGGCAAGGAAGTATGGGCCTAAGGTGGTCTCAGCTGTCAGCTGGAGAGGCACAGGACAGTTCCACTGTCACTTCCTCCAATAAAATCCTTACAGTTACCCAAACCGGAGTGGTGGTTTACCACACTCTGTTTATATCCACTTGTTACTTGCCTTGTATGCAGCAGTGCCTGGTCCTCAGGCCAGAAGGGTTTAAAGGAAAAGCATTGCACTTCAAATATCAGTCCTGGAAGGAAATTGGGTGGTCTAGACTCTGGGCCCAAGGAAAACCAAGGTTTCACAATTAAATTCACATGTTGTTGATATGGGGCCTTCAAAAGGGAGGGATGGGAGGAGCATATCATGAGCTAGGGGAAGGGTGGTAGTGGTTCTTTTCCTGGGAGACTTACTCAACATAGCAGAGCCTTTGGTTAGAGATTCTGGTACAGGGAAAAAAGAAATGATAAGAGCTAGGCAGGGTATTTGGACCCCTTCCAAACTATGCAGATTTGAAGGGCGGGTCTCTAATTTTTTTTTTTAAAGATTTATTTATTTATTTTAGAGAGAGGGAGAGAGAGCATACAAAGAGGGGGAGGAGCAGAGGTAGAGGGAGAGAGAGTATCTTAAGCAGGCTCCACGCCCAGCTCCAGACCGGACACAGGGCTCAGTCTCATGACCCTGAGATAATGACCTGAGCCGAAATCAAGAGTTGGTGTTTCACACACTGAGCCACCCAGACACTCCATGGGTCTCTTATTTTAAAGAATAATACTGGATTATTCCTATTACAAGTATGGAATGAATACGATGATGATTTGCATACCTTTAGAATATACCTTTCTCTTCCCCATGCCCACTTCACTGTTTTGAGACCGGATTCTGAGTAGGGAAAGCAGGCAGGCCACAGAATCAAATGTAGGCAAAACTGCATGCTGGTGGTGTCAGGCGGTGTGCACTGAATTCCCCTCCCTGGCGTGTATATCCAGGCTCTGGTTTAGAGGCTCTTGGGACAACATGAGCTGAACCCAACATGGTTTTGCTCCTGCTCAGCTCCATCTCATCTCCAAACCTTCCGGCTTCTTGCTCATCCAACTACAGCCTCAAATCAGGCCAAACATGTTTCCATCAAGGCCTTTGCACATGCTACCACCCTTGCCTGGAAAGCTCTTCTTGAAAACGTCCACACATTTTATTCCCTCACTTTAAGACTCCTTTAAAATTCCATCTTATTGAAGCAGACATCACCCTCTTTCTCCCCATTCTCTTCGGTTTTCTCCATCGCCCTTTTTTATGACCTATCACTCTGTGTATTTCTTTGGTCATTTTCTGTTTCCCTGCCCTGGAATGCGAACTCCATGGGGGCAACGGTTTTGCTTTGTTCAATGCTATGTTCTCAGGACCTAGAACTGTGCTGATGCTCCCTAAATATTAGATGAATATATGCCTGGCCACTAAAATTTTGATGTAGGATGTAGATAATGATCAAGACCCACCAAATGGTGGGGCCAAAGTGTTTGTCTTGTTATGTGTTTTAGGATTCTTTTAGGAAACATCTTAGGCCTGAGTCTACTCTGTGGGGTTGATAAGAGACATACCACACTCTGAGTCGCTATCGTAGGCAGACACCGGAGGAAACCAAGCGGGGACTGATATGTTGCATCATCTCTGGGGGTACACAAGTGGGTTTATATTGCTAGATTATAAGCTTCTTGGAGGTGCTTATGTCACACTTACGTTATCTTAATAGCAACTAGCCTAAGGCTATACAGACATGTATACTCGGTAACACTGACTGAATGAATAATTTGATACTGAAATTACAAAGCTACATAGTTAGGAATTATTTAAAGGATATCTGTAAAATGACCTCCTTGAAATCACAACTTGGGTTTTGAATTATTATAAAATGAACTGTTATACCATTTCAGGAATGAGATGATGTTAACCTAAAACAGGAGCCAACAAAATATTCAATCAGATAAATGGAATGCTCTGTCACAGGACTGTAAGGATTAACTGAGTCACCACATGGGAGGCATTTAAAACAACTGTATGCATAATAAGATCCCAGTGATGAGAAGCAGTCATTATTAGTAGTAGTGGTAGCGTTCTGTATGTGTGTGTGTGTGTGTGTATTGTCTTCTCAGCAAATCTTTTACAGTAGAAGCCATGTAATGTATTTATATGCACAGGGAAGAGGCTCAATACAAATACATTGGATAAATGAATCATTGATTCCACTTGAAGAAGTTTTCTATCTGCAAAAACTTTGGAATTGTGCTGTTGCTACTTGGGGCGGAGAGACAGAGAAGGGAGGAAAAGCAGAGTTGTATGCCGCAGAATCACAGTGCGGGACTTTGGTCTCATGCACTAACTATGTTTACACGGAAAAATTACCTAATTTTTCTAAGATTCAGCTTCCCTGTCTATATAATGCATAACAGTAACAACAACATGCCCCTTGAGATTGTTTCACGGACTAGGTGAGAAAGTATAGTGCATGATGCACAGCACAGTTCTTGCACTTTATTTTGCCAATTATTATAATCACTTAGGAATTCAGAGTTGTATCTTATAAGTAACATACAACATACCTCTTTCTTCCTCTTTCAGTTTATGGAGTTAAGGACACTAACAATAAAACAGGTTAAATCAGTAGGTATTTCTGCTTCATTCACTTGGAAATGCATTCTGTTCTGTTTTGGGACTGCTCCTGAATTCTTGTCTTACATTATTATGAAGAATTTCACTTGTTTGGCTTGTAATCCACAAATTAGGCTGGTAGGTGGTGGGGAGACCGTGTCTGATTCTGTTAGAGTCCTGGCTGTGTCAGTGATTGTTGGGCATCATGGTTCTGGAGATTGTGACTCACTGAGCTGCAGGTTGCACATTCTAGACTGGGGTCCCAGCCTCCCCACTTTCACCAGCAGTAGACCCAGGCAGGTTCTTAAGCTCTCTGCAAAGCCATTTCCTCATGTGTAAAATGAACACAACAACCCAAGTGCTCTCGAAGGCCTGTTGTGAGATGAACATGGGCTAATGTATGGGTAAGTGCTTAGTAAGCTGTCAAGTGTTGTATAATTATAAGGTAATCTATGACCAATAAATCAACAATGATTTATTGATTGATGCCAGAGTGAGTGACTAATTTCATCAAGGCCTAAGGCATTTAGGAAGTCATATTTGTGTAGTATTTTCACAATCTCACATAACTTGAATTAAAATGCATTTTAAAAAATGATTAACATGAGAAAACTATTTCAAAGATACTGTATGCTCTCTTATGTGAAGTCTCACACTTTGATCTCATTTTTTGGTTATTCATCATCTTTGGAATTTCTGCTTATTTCATGTTAACATTAAGGAAAAATAACTAGTTTTGGGTTTAGCTGTATCTCCTATGTGAGGGTTGTGAGAGAATATTTACTACTCGGATGGTTGAGATGCACCAAAAAATACATTTGGTCCTTTATTAAGGACACATAATGGCCAAGATCAAAAAGAAAAATGTGGTAACATGTTACCTGTAATCAATTCAAAGATGCTAGAATGCTGCCACAGACTGAGCGCCTCAAGCAGTAGGGAAATCAGTTGTTATTAAATACTTCTGTTACCCATGTTTTAAAAAGAAAATCATCCTGTATGCAGCACAGTTGGTCATTTTTCTCTGGCATTTAAATCTATTACTAATGACCAAGCCCTTTGCTATAACAAAATGAGAATCAGGACAATGTTGTTTTAGTAAACATAGGAGTAACTATGTTGATGCATTTTTTTTTTTTTAAAGTAGACTCCATGTCCAGCATGGAGCTCAGTGCAGGACTTGAACTCACAACCCTGAGCTCAAGACCTGAGCTGAGATCAAGACTCAGACACTTAACCCACTCAGCCACCCAGGTGCCCCTGTGTTGATGCATTTTTAAGGCCCACGTGTTTTTGTTTTTGTTTTTTTTTTGTATCCTTACCTTTAATAATTCCTACTATAGTTTTCTGTCCCTAGTGGGAACAAAATTTCTTAAATCATTATTTCAGTGCAGAGTGTCACATACCACTGAAATAAGGAAAGAATCCTGAAAAGATCCATGAAAATATCAGCATCTGCTTTCTTGGATACAGAACTGAGAGCATCAAATTAGATAACATGCAACAATATTTTCCTTTTTTTTGTATGAGAAATTCCAAGCATACACAAAATGAAGTATAAGGAACCTCAATATGGCCATTACCCAGATTCTAAAATTATCAAGATTTTGCCATTTGGGCTTCCTCCATCCTTTCCTTTTCTCTCTTGCTGCTTTGCTTCTTTCCTTCCTTTCTTTACTTTGCTGAGGAATGTTAAAGCAAATCCCAGATAGTATGCCATCTCACCCTGACGTACTTCAGTGTGCATCGTTACCAAATGTCAGCTTCTTTTCTATGTAATCACAATGCCATTATCACATATAATTAACTTTAAAATCTTATTTCCTTATTATCATTCAGTAATCAGTCCATACAAAATTTCTCAGACTTTCTCAAAAATGTCTTTCTGTATTTGATTAGTGTGAATCAAAATCCAATGAGTCCAATGTCCACAAATCACATTTGGCTATTTTAGCTCTGCACCTATTTTGATTCTCCCTCCACCCCTTTTTTTCATGCATTGGACTTATTACTAAAACTGGATATATTGTTGTAGAATTCCTCACATTTTGGATTTACCTCTTTGCTTTCTTGTGGTGTCGTTCAATTTGTTCCTTTGTCTTCCATGATTTCTATAAATGAAAGTCAGCTCTAGAAGCTTGAATGGATTTAGGTGTATAATTTTTTGGCTGGGTTACTTCATACAAAATGTTGTGAGCCTCATGTTACGTTGTATCAGGAGGAACCACATTTCTGCTTTCCTGTGTTCAGTGGGACACCCAGACCCTCTGCTGTAAAGTTTCAATTGATTTTTCATCTAGTGGTTTCATCTACATCTTGAATCAATTATTTCATCAAGGACTGCACAACATAGTTTCTAATTCTATCATTCCTACCACATATATGTGTTGGCTGCAATTCATTTTGAAGAAATAACTCTCTCACATCATTTAAGGTTATTTGGTTATCCTGAAACACAGTTTGTACAGAAAGGCAAGATAAATGATTCTTTTTTTGTCTAATTGCCATTCTTCAGAATAGTAGCCTGTGCTGCCAAGTTCCCTGTTTGAGTCTAGCTTTTTTCTCCATTTTTGTGGCCATAGCCTTGGTTCTGGTCCATACTGTCCTTTGATCATACTATTCCTGTAACTTCAATAATTTCTTCCCCTAAATTTGTTTCCATTCTCCCTCTATTTGTCTTTTACTGAAAAAAACAGTGCTTCTCGACCTACCATGAATTCTGATTGCCTTCAGAATAAAAGTTGCTGTCCTTTGGTAAGACACTTGAAACCCTGTGGTTGCCAGTCAGCCTACCTTCTACTCTCAACAGCCACCACACTCCAGGAACACAAGGAAGCTCAACAAACACAGCTTGCATTTTCCTTCATGCTTCTTACCCGGATTCCCTTAAATAGCAATACCACATCCCTATTGTTTTCTCCCTAAATTCTACTGATGCTTCAAGACTCAATTCTTATGCAACTTCCCCAGTGAAGCCTTATGTGAAACAATCTCCTGTTACCTCTTAACACAAAGTGATCGCTCTCTCTTTTGAATTGCCATGGCATTTTCAAGAGCCCTGATTTTGACAACGATTGCTATAACTGTTCTTCTCTATTTGGTTACACATGTGAATCTTCCTTAAACCAAATCACACATTCTAAGAAGATTTGCTTGTGTAACCTTCATATCCCTTGTATACAGGGTGCTCAGAGTATTATTATGGAAATATTTGCATGATATCCCTTTTGATTTGTTGCCTTTAGGTCAATTATGTGGAGTTAGCATAATGAAAAAGTTACATTTTGATAATCATGACTAAATATTTTATCAAAACATATTGAATACTTAGGAATCAGGCTACATGTTTAATGCCTTATAGGCCTCGCTGCTTATTCATCATAACTTCCCTCTGAAGTAGGCTCTGCTATTATCTCCATTTTATCAAAGAGGAAATTAAGATTTAGAGAAATGACTTAACTGGACAACATCATAAACCGGTGAAAGAAAGAACCAGGATTCAAATCCAACTATTTCTGAAAAAAGACTTATGTCTACAACATCACATTAAATGTTTCCTTCCCCCAAGACTGTTGAATGGAAGAACTGGTGTGAGGTGTGAGAAAGTCATCACACATTAATAACTTGGTAGAAGCGCCATAAGAGCAAAACAAAATTTTGTGCATTTGCAGACTTATTAAGGACAATAATTCCCTTAGTGGATACTTAAGGGTAAGTCTAGGAATATCATAAAATGGTAAAGAAGTCAAATTTGGAAGAAAAGTAAGACTATTTATAAAGAAGTATTCTAAATTGATTAGGGATTTTCCATTACTTTTAAAATTTAGATTTTCTAAAGTACTGACAATATACTGCTTAAAGAAGATGAAGTAGTAGTTCTAAGAGAGAAACCATACAAGCTTTAAATTTTGGCACATGTATTCAATAAATATATCAATGAATATTTAATCTGTGCCAAGTGATGTAAGATACAAAATTGTATAAAATGTCTACACATTGATCATAATCTAATAGAGGGGATAAAAAATACACTTGGCAGTGGACAAAAGCTAGCAATAACCCATCACTGCTATAGCAGGGTTCCAGTTCCACCCTTAACGTCTATGGAAATTCTCTGGAAGGAGAGAAAACTCCATGCTATTGATGCATAGTAAATGGATTTTTGCTGAAGAATACAACTGGTGGCAAAGTTAAAGAAATATGGACAGTTTTCCTATGATCAGACTTGTATCTTATATAATTATTTAAAAGACTTGAAAAAAAATCCCTTTTTTTGTGCCTCAGGCTCAGTTAGTTAACTAATCAATATGTCCAGTTTGGTTGGAATTATGTTAGAAAGTCATATACATTTTTAAAACATCTCCACGATTCCAATAAAATTACAAATGATGAGATTTGTCAATGAAGAGTTTTTATTTTTTTAATTTAAATTAAATTAGTCAGCATATAGTACATAATTAGTTTCAGATGTAGAGTTCAGTAATTCATCAGTTGCATATAACACCCAGTGCTCATCACATCATGTGCCTCCTTAATGTCTGTCACCCAGTTACCCCATCCCCCCGCCCACCTCTCTCCTTCAGCAACCCTCGGTTTCTTTCTCATAGTTAAGAGTCTCTCATGGTTTGTCTCCCTCTCTGATTTCTTCCCATTCCATTTTCCCTCCCTTCCCCTATGGTCCTCTGCACTATTTCTTATATTCCTCATATAAGTGAAACTGTATAATTGTCTTTCTCTGATTGACTTATTTTGCTCAGCATAATACCCTCCAGTTCCATCCACATCAATGTAAATGGTAAGATTTTATCCTTTCTGATGGCTGAGTAATATCCCATTGTATATATAAACCACATATTCTTTATCCATTCATCTGTCTATGGACATCTGGGCTCTTTCCAGAGATTGATTGTTGTGGACATTGCTGCTATAAACATCGGGGTGCAGGTGCCCCCTCAGATCACTACATTTGTATCTTTGGGGTAAATACCCAGTAGTGCAATTGCTGGGTTATAGGGTAGCTCTATTTTTAACTTTTTGAGAAACCTCCATGCTGTTTTCCAGAATGGCTGCACCAGCTTGCATTCCCACCAGCAGTGTAAGAAGGTTCCCCTTTCTCCGCATCCTTGCCAACATTTGTTGTTTCCTGTTTTGTTAATTTTAGACATTCTGACTGGTGTGAGGCGGGATCTTATTGTGGTTTTGATTTGTATTTCCCTGATGCCAAGTGATGTTGAGCATTTTTTCATGTGTCTGTTGGTCATTTGTATATCTTTTTTGGAGAAACGTCTGTTCATGTCTTCTGCCCATTTCTTGACTGGATTATTTGTAATGTAGAGTTTTTAATACCTTTAAAATAAAAACCTGAATTCGATCTGGTATGTGAATACTCTATGAGGATAATGCC